AGAGAGAGAGAGAGAGAGAGAGAGAGAGAGAGAGAGAGAGAGAGAGATTGAGACTCTCGGTTCGCTCGTTCGCTTGCGACACAAAATGACGACAATTTCCGCAGCGTGTTTACGATCGCTATCGTGCCGACGAAACGCTCGCGAGATAACGCGAGACGAAGCAGGCGAACGGGATGACGGGCGAATAATGTTTACGTTTTCACGATCGCGTAGGCTGCTTGGAATCTCTCCCGATTCCACGACGTTGGACGCGTGACGCCGTGACCGAGCCGATAAAAAGTCGGCTCGAGTTCGATCGCCGACGCTACAGGTATTCTCCCCCCGCGACGGGGGCGGGGGAAGGGAGAGGCGCGTTTTATCCTCCTCGCAGCGCGTTCCCATTGTCACGAGTAAATACTCGGATGATTTTCGCGTTTATCGTCGGCGCGAGCAGAGCCTGTGTTCGTCGGAAACGCGTCTCACTCGTCAGGGTCGTGGCCTCGATTTACGATCTGCGCGCGGGAGAATGCGGGTCCGCCCGGCCGTGCGCGACGTGACGCGCGGCAAACATTTGACAGAAAAAAAAAATTACTCACTTGCTCCTGCTCGACGGTTAACGTGGCTGCCATTTTGCCTCAAACGCACTGTGACATGTCCGATAGGTGTGCGTTTAGCAGGGGCCCAGCGGCGCTAGGAGTGAGGAACTTGCTTACTTCCAGTCCCGGTGCCGCGATCCTACGTTCTCGAGTGCGATCATTTCGTCGTCCGACCTCCCGCAGCAGGGCTAAGTCTCGCGCACGACGCACTGATCCTTACAGAGCACGGCCACCGACTGCGACAGCGACGGTAGCGGGGAATAGTAAATCATCCCGGCGCTTGCTCATCGTCGCACCATCTCACACGCACTCGAGCACGATTGTGACACGCTTCACTCCTCGCTCGATCGTCTTCCCTACGGATGCTCGCGCAGCCATCTTGAAAGCGCGCGCATGCACGACAAGCATGGCGGCGGCGGCGGCGGCTGCGCAGACGGCTCCCCGGCAATTTGAAAGTTCGTCGGCGAGGAGATCAAGGGCGATTGTCGTTTATCTTCTCGAGAGTTGATCATTGACGGCTATCGGATCCTTGATTGTAATCAGTGGCGATGATCGCCTAAACTTTCGATAATCAGTACGAGAGGTTGGTTTGTAGAAATGTCTCACGCGGGCAATATTTCGCATAAGAAATATGACGGCATGATGAAGAGCAAAGTAATGAACGATGCAAGAATTATAACAAAGGTCTCGGACAAAGAAGTATCAAAACTAATAGCAAGATACAAGATTGAGACATATTTAAGGAATATTTTGAGGTACAAATGTGCACGCGCGTATGTAAAAAATTGTATCTAAAATTTCATAAAAAACATTCAAATAAGCTTAAATAATTTTATCTTCCGTTTAGAAAATTTCTAAAAATGTCTGACATTTTTTGTACAATAAAAATTAGCTTAAAAAGATATCACTATATCGATTATTATATATGTATATAGAATGAGCGAAATTTTCTAAATGTGTGTGCATTTTTTGGAAAGTAAAAAAATTCATTCAATGTATGTTATCCATTGATAGCTTAATTATCATCTTTAATCCCGATATCTTTTCCGAAAGTGTAATATCGAAGTTAAATATATTATTTCTTACTTTGATATGCTTCGTGTGACGTAACGTAAAATTCAACTAAATTTCGTCATTGAGAAAGATAAGCATATTTATCCAGCGTACTACTTTATCGGAGAATGAAAACTTGTAATTAAATATTGGATTGCTTGTTTTAAAGAATAAGGAAAGTGTGATCACACTTCCTCAATGTAATCAGTACCGACACACGAGAGATTACTATTGACCGTACAGCTAATTTTCAAGTAGACACTCTTCACGAAGGCAAACTAATTCTCAATTGACGATTCTTGCATGTGTGTGAGTCGTGATCACAAATCATAAGACATGTTAAAAAGAGGAGCAGGGACGGTCGCGAATTTGGACGTAAACTGTGTGCAAGGCGTTCGCTGGTAGTTCGTATTTATTAAACAGAGAGGACCGAGTAAATTTTTGCCGTAACAAAACTGTCGAGACGATAGTTTTGGCTACAACTGGTCAAAATAGCAATTTGGACGAATTGAGCGTTGAGAGAAGTTAAGAAGACGCACTGGGTGACGCAGCCCCTTATCACTTGTCAATTAATCTCGAGTAAACATTAAGATCTCGAGACCTGATCACATGTCAGAACGTTGTCTAATCTCGTCTAGAGAATCGTCAAAGGGAATCGACGTGAATTGTATTTTGACAAAGAGAGAACTTGATTAGACAGTGTGTCGCCCCCAAAAACAAATTAACGCGTGACAGCCTTGTGCGCGACGTAAATCTAAGTTCTTCGACGTTTTCTTCCTCCTGTTTATTCGAGGGTTGAGAGAGACGCAACAATGATCCAACACCGGAGCGCTTCGTAATATAAACATTTTTCTTATTCAAACGTATGTTCTTACATTTACACAGTACAAAAAATTATACTCAGACCTGCCGGCCCGCGGTTCATAACTGCTATGACTGGGGGCGGCCGGTACTTGTAGGAGGGGGGGGGGG